GAGCTTTTGTGTTGTAATATGAGAATTTGCGCCCATTGGGCGTCTGTGAAGGTTCTGTCTGTCAATTCCTCCCACTGCCTCTGGAAGGCGTTGTTTCTGGAGAGTTCCCCTGTGAGCAGTTGTTGATATATGCCCGATACTCTGCCATCTGCCTCTGGAGAGCTCTTGCAGAAGTGTTCAAACCAGGTCCATTCTCTGTGTACTGCTCTCCTATTGGGCAGATTGTGGTAGAAGTGCCTCAGCTGTGCGTAATGAAATCGGTGCATTATCATCAGGCGGTCTGTGTCCGCCCAGTCTTGAAGGCTGCGCAGGCTGGTGTTTGTCAGGGCCGAGCTCAGGGGTACATAGCCCTCTTCTCTGTGTATTGGCCACGCGTTCGCGTGCAGTCCCCCTCCTATGGTTTCGTTATATGATAGGGGGATCAGGGGGCTTGGCTGTGGCGAGATGTGTGCGTTCCTTCGCAGGGTGGTCCAGGTTTTCAGCGTCTGCGTCACTGGGGATTCCGTACCCAGAGCTTGTGCAGCCCCTGTCGGGCGGTGCCAGATGTATGTGTGGAGTGCTCTGTTTGTGCTTTCCCTGTCCAGTCTCATCCATAGTTTGTTGGTGGGGGCTGTGTGCCATTCTCGAATCCTCTGGAGCACTGTCGCGTGGAAGTATCTCTGAAAGTCCGGAAGGGCCAGGCCTCCCCATGGTTTTGGCAGGCATAGTCTGTCATGTTTAAGCCGTGGCCTCCCCTCCTTCCAGACATACTTCGTTACCGCTGTTTTGAGCTTGGTGAAGAAGTCCTGTGGTAGGTGCCAGGGGATGGTGCTAAAGCAGTAGAGAAGGCGGGGGAGGTTGTTCATTTTCACCACCGCTATTCGGCCTTGCCAAGAGATGTGATCGTACGACCATCTCGTCAGGTCTGTCAGTACGCTGCGAAGGAGGGGTGTGTAGTTCCTGTCGTATGTCTCGCCCGGGTCACGGCAGAGCCAAATACCTAGGTAGCGCATCTGCTCCTTGCACCAGTGGAAAGGGAACTTGCGTTGGAGTCTCTCCTGTGTGTTCCTCGCGGTGTGTATTGCCAGATTTAGCTTAAGCCCTGATATCCGCCCGTATTGCTCGAACTCCCGTAGGAGAGCCGGCAGTGTGTTCTGAGGTTCCGTCACGAAAAAGAGCATATCGTCCGCGTATGCGGCCACCTTATGTGTCTGATCTTTCTGGCTGAATCCCTGGATCTCTGGTGTCCGTCTGATCTTGTCTAGAAATGGCTCTAACGTGAGGGTGAAGAGGAGGGGAGACAGCGGGCATCCCTGTCTGGTTCCGTTGTTGATGTCAAAGTTGGCTGTGAGTGCTCTATTTACCCGTACTCTGGCAGTTGGGTCGGTGTATAGTGCCGTTATCCAGGTGAGTATGCCGTTCCCCAGACCCATCGCCGTCAGCGCTGTCATCATGAAGCTCCACCTCACCCGATCGAACGCCTTTTCTGCGTCCGTGGAAAGCATAAGGAAGTCCGAGGTTCCTTTACGCACCAGGCTTTGTATGGTGAATGCCCGCAGGGTGCTATCCCTGGCCTCTCGTCCCGGGATGAACCCCGTCTGGTCTGGGTGGACTAGTCTCGGCAGGAATTGTTGCAGTCGCGTAGCTAGCACCTTGGAGAGGATCTTCACATCCACGTTCAATAGTGATATGGGGCGGTAATTGCCACAGATTTCCAGATTTTTGCCGGGTTTGGTAATCACTGTGATTATGGCTGCTAGGGATTCTCGGTGGAATTTACCTCTGTCTCGGAGGTGGTTGCAGGCGTTGGCGATGCGTGGGGCTAGGATGTCTCTGAACTTTTTATAATAGCCCGCCGAGAACCCGTCTGGGCCCGGCGCCTTCCCATTCTTTGTCGTTTTTATCACTGCCAGTATCTCTTCTGTAGATATCGGGGCGTCTAGGGCGTCTGCTTCCTGCGGGGACAGGGCTTCAGGGTTGAAGTCTCTGAGGTAGCGTGCGATGTCTCCTGCGGTTCTGGTCTCATCTGCGTCCGGTGTTTCGGGCGGTATGTTGTACAAGTCTTCATAGTACGTGCGGAATTCGTTCGCGATCTCCTCGGGGAATTGCATAGTGGTGCCCCGGGCTGTTCGCAGCGCGCTCACCTGTGCACTTGTTTGTTGGTTCCGCAACATGCATGCTAGTAGCCTTCCTCCCTTATTGTCATGAATGTAGAAGAAGGCTTTTGATCTCTGGATTGTCCTGTGGTGTTTGGGGGCTATCAGGTCTGACAGTTGCCGTCTGAGGGTCAGAAGGGTGCGGTAGTGCGTCTCCTGTTGAGTTCTCTTGTGCAGCGTTTCCAGCGTTGCTATCTGTTCTACAAGTGCCGTCATTTGTCGTTGTGATTCTCTCTTTTTCTGCGCTGATATCCGGATAAGTAGCCCCCTGAGGACGCTTTTGTGCGCCTCCCACAGGGTCAGTGCGGAGGTATCTTCGGTGTCGTTTTCCGTGAAGTAGTTATTCAGTTGTTCCACTATTTGTACCTGCGTCAGTACGTCGGAGAGGATTAGTTTATTTAAACGCCATATGGTCCGGGTAGGCCTGTATAGGGGTGATTCCATGCGCATGTGTACTGCGCTATGATCAGACCATGGGGTGGGGCGGATGTCTGCCTCCAGTAATCTTTACAGTCCTTCTTGTTGGATAAATAGGTAATCTATTCTAGCGTGCCTATTGTGCATGGCCGAGTAATGCGTGTAGTCTCGGTCTCCTGGGTGTAAGATTCGCCATGTGTCTACCAGTCGCAGGTCGTGCAGAGTCCTTCGGATCGTCCGGATGGCTGTTTGCGGGATGCTGCTATGTCCTGTTGAGGAGTCCAGGATTGGATCTAGAGGGGCGTTGAAGTCCCCTCCCACCACGAGGGCACCTTCCGTGAAGTTGGCGAGCTTGAGAAGTGTGTTGCGGAGAAATTTCGCTTGTTCAGTGTTTGGGGCGTAAATTGAGGCAAATGTGTACGTCTTCTGGGCTACCGTCCCCTTCACGAACAGGTATCTGCCATTCGGGTCGGCCAACGTGTCGCTCCGGTGGAAGTGAAGGTTGGAGGCCAGGAGAATCGCGACTCCCGCCTTGTGTGCTGTTGGGTGGGTGCTATGGAAGCTGTCTGGGAAGCGTCTATCCATCAATCGATGCATTTCGGCCGCTCTAATGTGTGTTTCTTGCAGCAGTGCTATGGATACGTGTTGCTTTTTCAGTTCCCGTAGGAGATGCGTGCGTTTCTCTGGGGCGTTCAGTCCCCTACAGTTCTGTGTGATTACTAAGAAGGGGGCATCTGTGAACGCCATGGCGGGAGGTCCTCTGAACACCTGGGGTTCGAGTATGTCAGTCGCTATATTGGGAGAGGGGGGGTGAGGCCGCGGACTGGCTTCTGCTATGTCAGACCAGGCAAGTCAGGTCTGTCTGGGTTAGGGTAGCCCGGTGGCCGGGTGGGAGTTCCCACTAATGGGTTTTGCCAGCCTATCTTGTCAGCGGGTCTGGGCCTTTCCATGTCGGTGTTACTCTGTTGTCTTGGTTTGGGGGGTCACGGGGTGTGAGTTGTCATCACAGCATTCATAGGCATTGCATTAATTCTGACTTTGACAATTTTCCCTCCATCCCTTGCCCCACCTCCCATCCACCCCGCCTCCGCTATGCCCGCCCCTTCTGTTACATGGTATGAAGCCTTTTGAAGTACACTCATCCCGCCGCCCCCCGCCCCCCAGGCCCCACAGCTTCCTGCATTGTATTACTTATCACCATCTGGACTTTTCCAGGCCAGTCTCCAGTCCCATATAGCCCAATTGAGTCGAGGAGGCATATATATTGGTTCCCAGTGCACAGTTCATTTGTGCAACGTCCGGCGTCCCCTCCCGACTCCCCCCCCCAAACCCCCAGGCCTTTCCCGCCACCCCCCCCAGTGAAGCCCAGTGTCTTCCCATTCCGCTTGCCCCTTCAGGTGATATGTTCTCTATGACAGCAGAAGTGTCCCCATTCTCCATAATAGCCAGATAGTGCTGGTGTTGGCAAGTCTCAGTGCCCTCCTTTAGAAATGCCTTCCCCCCCATTGTGTTCCCCCTCCCAAAAAAGGGGAATTAGTGGGAGCTGTGTGCCTGTGGGCCAAGTGTGTGTCTCTGCTAAGTGTCTCGTGTGGGCCGTTGGGTTAGGTGTGCGTGTAGGGGCCAAGATGTACATGTGCTTGCGGTGGAGACTTATCTGGTGTCAGACGTCTTCTGGTATTCGGGGGCCTCCGGGTTCGTCCTGTGAGCTCTTCGCCGGGAGGTGCGCTCCGAGCCAGGGCGGGCCGGGGGGGAGGGAGCGGGGGGCCGCCAGCCCCACAATTCTTACTCCTCTGGGTCACCGGGCTCTAGTTGTCTGCGGGCCACAGGGCGCCGTGGTGTCTCTTCTCTGTGTCGGCGTTTTTGTCTCGGCATCTGCGGGCCAGATCTCTGTTCAGGTTGGCTCAGGATCCAGTTAGTGATTTCCGTGGGCGGTAGGCCTAGGCACTGTAATCTGGGTGCCTCCTCCAGCCATCGCAGAGGTACCCATTCATTTTGGTGCCTGGCTAGGAGAGCGAAGGGGTAGCCCCATTTATAAGTGATCCTCCTCTCCGTAGTTGTGTCGTGATCGGTCTAAGCGCTCTGCGCGCCTCTAGGGTCAGGGGTGAGAGGTCTTGGTACAGGGCCACATCCGCATCCTGGAATCTCCATGTAGGTCTGGATCTTGCTTTGGCCATGATCTTTTCTTTCAGCTTATACTGGTGCATACAACAAATGATGTCTCGTGGTGTCCCATCCATTGTGCGCAGCCTGTTGGCCCTGTGCGCCCTGTCAAACTCCATGGTAGCCGGTGTCTCTGCCCCCCAGGATTCCTCTGAAGAGTGTGCATAGTAAGGCCTCCACATCTTCTTCCCCTGCTGATTCCGGTATGCCGCGCACCCTTATGTTAGATCTGCGGCCTCTGTTATCTAGATCTTCTGTGTGGCATCTCAGGGCTAGTAGCATGTTCCCCTATCTGGTGATAGCTAGGTTACAGGCCTCCGCTTGAGCTGTGTGGGCTTGTGTGGTTGTTTCTAAGTGCTGAAGTCTGCTGTCTTGCGCCACCAAGTCTGCTCTAAGTGTAGTTACCTCTGTGTGTATCACAGCATGCAGGGTTTCAGAGAGGCCGCGGAGGTCCTCCTTGATAACCATTGTTGCGGCGAGTGCCCTGATCTCGGCACTGATGTCCGCCAGCGTGGTTTCGCCGCCATCAGACGTCGGCCTGGTCGGGGAGCCGGCCATGTTGGAGCACGCGGCCTCCTGGAGCGTGCTCGTTGCGGGTGTCAAGTACCCGTCCATGGGTCCAGCATGGGTGCTAGGGGGGTGCCCCCTTGGTGTCTGGGAGCCATCTGTGCGTTTTGTGCGCCCCATTTTCGTGCCGGGCTATGCTGACAGCGTGCTTTCAGTGCTCGTGGGACGGAACTCCCTGCCTAAGCTGCCATTTTCGTCCGCGTCCAGGCCACGCCCCCCCGCCTCAGGTTATTTTAACTGTGCACAAAACCTCTAGCCCCTAGAGGCGTAAACACTTTTATGTATGTACGGTCACTCAACAGCATGCTTAATTAACCCCTTAAGACCGGAGGGCGTACAATTACGGCCTATTTTAGGCGGCTCTAAACGCCGCCGGGCGTAATTGTACGCCCTCCGGTCTTTCTTTACTTACCCGGTCGCTGGAGGTCCCACGCCGGCGATCGCGGTGGGGGGGACTCCCAGGGAGCCCCCCCGCGGCAGATCCTCCTCCTCCAGTGCCCCCCGGCCATGTGAGAGTGAGGTCCTTGCGAGGACCCCACAATCACTTGACCGGTATAGCTGACTTCTGTATTGCTGCCTGTAATGACAGGTGGTCCCCCTGCTGGCTGGAAATAAAAATAAAATAAATTAATTAAGTGTAAAAAAATATATATATATACTTAGATCATATATATATAATATATATATATATATATAATATATATATATATATATATATATATATATATATATATATATATATATATATATATATATATATATATATATATAAAGAACTCTTAATCCTTGCACACTGACCAAACAGTAATAATATCCGGGTGCTTGTAATCCAGGGTAAATGGAGATATAGATAAGCAGAAAATGGCCAGCACTCACGGTTTCGAGTAAAAGTTAAAATTCAGAAATTTATTAGAACATCTTTAAAAATGTAGCAGCTCGACGTTTCAGTCCTCCTCCGGGACTTTCATCAGGAATATTAACCACATACATATCAATAAGTAATTTAAATACCGGGCAAATAATTGGAAAAAGTCATTAAAAAGTAAACTTACCCCAGCTGTACACCTATCACCGGCTATCGCTCGCGTCCCCAAACACAAAGTGCGCATGCGCGTGCGTACCCCACCACGTGATCACGTACCGTCCGTTGCCATGGGAGCCGGATACACACACCAGTCCGGTCACCCTGGCAACCTAGAAACGGTGACCATATATTGAAAGCTTTATTAGTATATGTGAAAGTGAAAATGAGCACCATAGTCAGTATATTTAACTGATCAAAAGATCCATATTATAAAGCCACAAATCCATATGTCATATATATTATATGTATCAACACCTCTAAATTTGAAATATAAAGTCAGATCTTGAACGATACTGACAATAATAAAGGTGATATGTGCAAAACATGCAAATAGAAAAAACAAAGTGATCCAATCATGTGAACATTATATTGAAATTTAAAGTGCCAATTGTGTTGCAATATAGTAGTAAAGTGCTAAAAATAGGGCTTCCAAGATTGAAGCAAAGTGCCAATATAGATATAAGAATAACAGTGAAGATATGATGTGTAAAATTATTAAAGATTACACAGATTAGATAACAAGGGTTAAGACTATCAGGACAGGAGCCCGTGGGTAAGTAAAGAAATTAATGTCCCCGACAATGTTAAAATCACATAACAATAAAATACACAAACACTAATATTAAAAACAATGATGATGAAAAAAAATATATAAATTATTTGTTGAAATTGTTACAAGGCATTTATATAAATGAGTGATACGAAATCATTTCATTCAGTCCTCTAGGGGCTATGGTATCCAGGGTATAGATCCAGAATGTCTCTCTGTTCAAAAGGAGTTTTCCTCTATCCCCCCCACGTTTCAGCGGTGGTATATGGTCAATTGCTAAAAATTTAAGAGCTGAAAGTGGGTGTTGAAAGGCAAGGAAATGTTTTGCCACCGGTTGGTCAGATGTCAAATCATGATATGCCACCCTTATGCTTGATCTATGTCCCCTAATTCTTTCACACAGGGGTGTTTCAGTCTTACCAATGTATGAGAGTCCACAAGGGCAGGACAACTTATACACCACGTATGGAGTCTTGCAAGTAATGGTGTGTCGTATCTGAAAAACCTTTTTCTTATGTGGATGTTGAAAGGTGCGAGACGGTGTCATGTGGCCACAGGTGACACAACCCAAGCAACGAATGCTACCCCTATTTTGTATTTCAATGTTTTTTACTTCGTAGCTTCTTGTCGGGTCCGTATGAACCAACAGATCTCTTAAATTCTTATTTCTACGATAGCACATAAGAGGGGGTTCTTTGAACACCTTAGGGAGGGTATCGTCACTTGCCAGCATATTCCAATTGTCCTTAACAATTTTAGATATCATTGGGGATGCATCATGGAAAGTTACAGGAAAAACTAGCCTTTGGGATTCACTTTTAACTTTAGTTGGACAGGCAGACTTTGCCTCCAATTTTGCCCTAACCTGTGGCCACATGACACCGTCTCGCACCTTTCAACATCCACATAAGAAAAAGGTTTTTCAGATACGACACACCATTACTTGCAAGACTCCATACGTGGTGTATAAGTTGTCCTGCCCTTGTGGACTCTCATACATTGGTAAGACTGAAACACCCCTGTGTGAAAGAATTAGGGGACATAGATCAAGCATAAGGGTGGCATATCGTGATGGGACATCTGACCAACCGGTGGCAAAACATTTCCTTGCCTTTCAACACCCACTTTCAGCTCTTAAATTTTTAGCAATTGACCATATACCACCGCTGAAACGTGGGGGGGATAGAGGAAAACTCCTTTTGAACAGAGAGACATTCTGGATCTATACCCTGGATACCATAGCCCCTAGAGGACTGAATGAAATGATTTCGTATCACTCATTTATATAAATGCCTTGTAACAATTTCAACAAATAATTTATATATTTTTTTTCATCATCATTGTTTTTAATATTAGTGTTTGTGTATTTTATTGTTATGTGATTTTAACATTGTCGGGGACATTAATTTCTTTACTTACCCACGGGCTCCTGTCCTGATAGTCTTAACCCTTGTTATCTAATCTGTGTAATCTTTAATAATTTTACACATCATATCTTCACTGTTATTCTTATATCTATATTGGCACTTTGCTTCAATCTTGGAAGCCCTATTTTTAGCACTTTACTACTATATTGCAACACAATTGGCACTTTAAATTTCAATATAATGTTCACATGATTGGATCACTTTGTTTTTTCTATTTGCATGTTTTGCACATATCACCTTTATTATTGTCAGTATCGTTCAAGATCTGACTTTATATTTCAAATTTAGAGGTGTTGATACATATAATATATATGACATATGGATTTGTGGCTTTACAATATGGATCTTTTGATCAGTTAAATATACTGACTATGGTGCTCATTTTCACTTTCACATATACTAATAAAGCTTTCAATATATGGTCACCGTTTCTAGGTTGCCAGGGTGACCGGACTGGTGTGTGTATCCGGCTCCCATGGCAACGGACGGTACGTGATCACGTGGTGGGGTACGCACGCGCATGCGCACTTTGTGTTTGGGGACGCGAGCGATAGCCGGTGATAGGTGTACAGCTGGGGTAAGTTTACTTTTTAATGACTTTTTCCAATTATTTGCCCGGTATTTAAATGACTTATTGATATGTATGTGGTTAATATTCCTGATGAAAGTCCCGGAGGAGGACTGAAACGTCGAGCTGCTACATTTTTAAAGATGTTCTAATAAATTTCTGAATTTTAACTTTTACTCGAAACCGTGAGTGCTGGCCATTTTCTGCATATATTATATATATATATATATGATCTATATATATATGATCTATATATATATATATATGATCTATATATGATCTAAGTATATATATACACATATACATACACACACATACACAGTCTAGGTGTATTTTACTATTAATATATATATATATAATTATATATATATATATAATTATATATATATATATATATATATATATATATATATATATATATTAATATCAAATTACACGAAGACTGATACTGATTAAATATATATATAATTATTGTTATATATATATATTTATATATAATATAAAAAAATGTAATATGTAAATACGTAAAAAAATAAATAAATAAATAAATAAAAAATAATTAAAAAATATATAGATGTGTGTTATTTCGTTGTAACTGTATTGTGATATTAATATATATATATTTATATCAAAATACACATAGAACGAAATAATATATATATCTACATACATAAATATATACGTATATATCACTATATATACACCTATATATAACTAAAAATATATTTTTTTAAATTATATATATACACATATAGATTCTACATATATATTTATGTAATATTTTTACATAATTAGGTATCTTAATTAATTACAATTAGCGGGACCTGCCTGACAACCCATGCCGAAAGTAAAGGGAATTAGTTTGCTAGCACTATATTTAACCCTATAACTTTCCAAGACACCATAAAACCTGTACATGGGGGGTACTGTTCTACTCGGGAGACTTTGCTGAACACAAATATTAGTGTTTCAAAACAGTAAAATGTATTACAACGATGATATCGCCAGTAAAATGAAGTTTTTTGCATTTTCCATGCACAAACAGCAGTTACACGGACGATATTATTGCTGTGATACTTTTTACTGTTTTGAAACACAAATATTTGTGTTCGTCGAAGTCTCCCGAGTACAACAGTACCCCTCATGTACAGGTTTTATGGTGTTTTCAAAAGTTACAGCGTCAAATATAAGGCTTGCATTTCATTTTTTTCACATTAAAATTCGCCAGATTTGTTACGGTGCCTTTGAGACCCTATGGTAGCCCAAGAATGAAAATTACCCCTATGATGGCATACCATTTGCAATAGTAGACAACACAAGGTATTGCAAACGGGGTTTGTCCAGTCTTTTTTAGTAGCCACTTAGTCACAAACACTGGCCAAAATTGGCATTTTATGCATTTTTCACACAAACAAATACTAACGCTAGCTTTGCCAGTGTTTGTGACCAATGTAACGTGCTATATTTGACCCTGTAACTTCCCAAAACGCC